AGAGAGAGAGAGAGAGAGAGAGAGAGAGAGAGAGAGAGAGAGAGAGAACAATTGTGTATCTGAGCATACATGTTGCATTGATTTCCTGTTTCTCCTGATATATTCGTTTGTTTGTTTTACTTGAGGGAATACAAATTGTTGGGGGACATTAACGCTCAATGTGCAACTGCAGAGCGTCACATCCACCTCTATGGTTTGCATTTAAAAACGGATATCTTTCCACAATGTCAAGTTCAAGGCAAGGGTTTAAAGAAACAAAGCGTTGGCCTAACTCATGATATGGTGGCTAAATGTAAAAATATCAGGTTTCCAATGTTGTCGGTCCAGTGAACTCTGCAGTGTCAGAGCCTGAAATGTAAATAACAAGCTCAAAGCATTTGAACACCCGACCCTCTTGTGACTTGCTATCCACTGCAGGCACTGCCAAACCATACAGTCTCACCTCTGTGTGTCATGGGTATTCACCTGGCTGACGTCACACACGAACTGCTCCGCACATTGAGCCGCAGTACAAAGTCAGTCACAGACGGAGAGAGAGGGAGCACGAAGTAACAGCTCGAGTAACGACTTGAACACTTCCTTAAACCACTGGTGAAGACTTGTTATTTTTAAAGTCAATCCTCCGGGAGAACTGCGGTTCCACAAAAACTCAAACCCGCGACAAACAAAGACACTTTTCCTGCTCAGCGGAAAGAGGTAAGTCACAGTTTGTTGCGAGAAGACGCTCAACTTCATTGTAGTTTTGGGGGGGGGGACAAAAAGTACACGGTGTTGTTTGACAGCACAGTACTTGGTTACAAAGTACTGCGTGTCAGGAGTTGCCTGTTTCATACTGTGGGCGCGCTTTGGCTCATGCTTTGTCGCGTAAAAGAAGCAAAGCGGGACTGCAAAAACCTCGGTTGGCATCGTTAGTAGAAGTAATGTGACTGTCTGTTGGGAATGAGAGGAGTTGCTGTCGAAGAATGCCTCCCTCTCTCGCCGTGTTTCAGTTGTAAAGTTACGTAAGAGAAAGCCATGTTTCTGTGATTTGCAGGTCCGGGCACACTCAACGCGTCTCCCCTGCTACTGGGGGGGGGAGCAATGTTATGTATGTTATGTACATGTATATAACACTGGGAAACCAGTTTGTTTGCTTCATAAATCCGTCTCGCAAAGTGTTGTATTCTATGGCAACAGAGAGGTCCTTTTTTTTTTTTAGTGATGTAAACTTTGTCGAAAATCAAAATGGGGCTAAACAATGGCATTCATCAAGATACGAACCACCACCACAATGAACACATACCAAATACAAAAATCACATTTAAATGAAGTCCTTATCACCCTTTTAAATGTTACCTTTTTATTATATAACAGGGGACACTTTTCCCTTTGAAACACCTTAACTCTATGCCTCTAATGTCCCTTTGTGTGATTCCGGTTTGTATACAGGAAGTAAATATTGACAATCCACAGTTTAAGATTTACTGTAAATGAAGTCACAAAATGTGGAGACAAGCTGAAGTTCTTGAAGTTCAAGTGCAGATAAAGTGAGTTGACTTGGATTGACTTTGCTCAGTGTGGTCTAACTTGAACTGGAGCTGGTTTGCCTAGTTCAGCTGAGCCTGGAGTCCATGTATGTATGCATGCCTATCAAAAGTACTCATCCTTGCACTGAAGTGTAGCAACTCAAATTTCCATTAAATAACACCCGTACCATCCTTCATCACCTGTTCTGGGTAAAGTCAGTGAAGCAGGCCGCATGTAAAACACAAGGACAACAACTATTTGTGGCACCGAAAATAAGTGCCATGTGTCAGCAGGATGACTAAATAAGTCTCTGTTTGAACACTTGTGGGTGTAAACAACTCAGCCTTCTGAATCCACAGTAGACAACATAACTGGTCAGCTCCCCAGACACTCTAAACACATTATCCTATTTTGAAATATTCCTTCCATCGCTTGCGGAAAAAAAGACTTGTGTCACAAACTACAACACATTTCTGCCTTTGTGGCATGCCCTGTATCCTGTTGTTATCGTCTGGAGGCGATGCCGCTTTGTGAGCGCAGGTAACACTATCTGCCTGCATCTGCCTGCGGTTACTGATGTGTCAATATTGGCTTGAGGCTTCATGGGCTGCTCGGAGGACGCGGTTGGGACATCTGCTCAGTGAGGAGTTGCCCTTCCAGCACTAATCCCTCGATAGTACAAGACGGGTATAAAAACTCGCCCGACTAATTTAGACAATGTTTAGATTGGTGTTGGGCTTTATTGTGTGTCGGAATAATTCATAATTTATTTCAAGGCAGGACTGCAGAGTCGAGGAAGCTCCAATAGGTACAGCAAATAAAAAAATCCATCAACCGAAACTAGTCACTTAGAGCTGGGTATTGATCCAGTACTTTTTAAGTACCATTTAAACTGTGTACGTTAAACTGAATATTAAAACGGTCAAGTACTGAATGTCAACATTAGTCTATTTTATTTATTTAAATGACATATTTAAACACTTGAATAAAATAGTTTAAACTCATTAAAGTGGTGTTTGATTTTAAACTCAAGTATCATTTTGGCAATAGCATAAAAAACAGTATCACCAAAACTGTAAAAGGTTTGTTTTGTGTGCCATTAAAATATGAAAGGGACAGTAGTAGCCATACTGCAGCACTTCTGTTCCAATGTACAATAATACATGATACTAGTTAAAAGAGCACCTGCTGTTTATGCATAAGTACACACACAGAAACTCACAAAAAACACAGCAGTTTGGCATGCATTTAGTAAATCAGCACTGGGAGATGATAGTTAAGCTACTTGTCCTTGGCCTCTTGTCACTATACCGCTCTCTCTGTCACACACACTCAACATCATGCTATCCGGCTCTGCTCTCCTTCCTCAGATGCTATTTTGTCTGTCTTAACCAAGGCTTTGTGAACTGTGAGCGAGGCAGAAATGGACACCGCTCTTAATACATGTGGAGAGGAGACACACACACTCGTGCACACACACACACAGAGTAGAAGCCGGATTCATTCCATGCTGGTATAGCAGGTTTGACAGTGTGCCAAGAAGCTCAGTGATGGGAGAGAAAAACAGAAAAGGTTTCGATGTACTGTCAGTCTGAACAACCAATAAGCAGTTATTAACAGCTTGTGCTGATTTGGTCTTAGGTCTTAGACACAAAGTGAAATTATAACACGATCACTGGAATAAATTCATCTCAACAGCTACTCATCTGACTCTGACCTTGAACCAGCAATGTCTGCTCTGGTCTCTTTCTCCTTCAAATCTCACTTTTCTTTCCTGTCCTACTTTGTCCTGATTGATGTGTGTGTGCAAGAGAAAGAGGGGGGGGGGGGGGGACGACTGACTTTCTTTTTTGCCTGTAGGTGTTGGTGTCTCCCCAGACAACATCTGTAATATGTCTGTTGACATGACCTGTGTGTGTGTGTGTGTGTGTGTGTGTGTGTGTTTCTTTCATTAACCTTGGTTAGTGAAAGAAAGGAAGGCTTTGATTCTTGCAAGCCAGTCCCCACCGAAAATTCATTAAAGGCTGCTTTGCTCAAGGTTATTAGCGTGTGCACGCGCACAAGTACACTTATGTGCTTTCGAGGCGGTGCTAATGCGGTAATAATACATGCCACCGTGGCTCAGCCAAAGGCCGGTGGATTAAAGCAAGTTTTTGTGAGAATTACGTTGCTTTGTTTGAGCGAATTCTTCAAAATTGGGAATGAATTCAAAACATCAAGTGATTGTGCTCAAAAAGTTACCCTATCTCATGTTATTACCTCCACCAAGATACAAAACAACTGAAAGTCATTAAAATGGTAAATTTCGGGGATTGGGCAGACTTGACAGAGGTACAGTATGTCCTTTTTAGTATACAGAGCAGATGTCCACAATCAACAGCGCTTTCATAGTTCAGAACAATCCCTCTCCGTGATCACCGTTTGATTTCCAATGCGGAGGGATTGTTTTTGTTTGAGCCATCATTAAGAGCACTTTCATGATTCAATAGATGTGTATTCACACAGCTACACACCAAACAGGTTATTAGGTTCAGGTGCGAGTGTGGACTGCCTGACTCTGGCCATGCTTGTTCAGGTACATAATAATCGTGCGGAGCGTGTTTGTTTAGCTCTAATTTGCCAGGCAAGGCCACGCCTGGCCCAGCTCCATCCAGCCAGGCTGTCCTGGGTCTCTTTCACTCACCCTTCCTCTCTCTCGTCATTGTGTGTTGACAGCACAGTCTCTTGAAGGAACTGGAAAACGGGGAGGATAAGGAAACCAAAGTGTTTGTAATTCTTCAACTGAAAGGTGTTTTGAGCACATGGGGTGCATCTTCTTCCTTCACGTTTCTCCATGTTTCCTGATATTGATCACCGTGTATGTTACAGACAGTACGGGAATGTGTCAAACACTTCCTGGTTGTGCTTGACAGGACCACCAGTGAAACCTGACACACACTCTCGGAGCGATTGTGATCGTGACATGTGGTTCTGCAAGTCTGAAATTGTCAGAACAGGTTGATCTGTTACCTGTGTCCTATATTTTTCATATTCTAGCTTTATTTAACTTCCTGTCAGGACAGTTTTCATATTCTAGCTTTATTTAACTTCCTGTCAGGACAGTTTTCATATTCTAGCTTTATTTAACTTCCTGTCAGGACAGTTTTCATCGCTCAATGTCTTCCTCTGTTACAGACATCTATTTTCTTTTTACCAAAGCTCTCGCGCCCTTTTTTTAGTAGACAAACATCGGCTAACGAACCTCTATTGAAAACACATGTGAGGATAATGACACAGTCAAGTCAAGATATCGCAATGTACTGAGTTGAAGGAGCCTGTTTGTTGCTGGTTTTGATGGTTTCTCAAGATTTCTCATCTAATTGAGTTTAATCAACTATACTGATTTCACAGCAGGCCTTTTGGCTTGTCATAGTAGGAAAAGACCAGGCGTTAATAATAACATCAACGATGGCCTTTTTTGTCTCCGTAAGCTGTGACAGTGAGCCAGCATACACAATACCAGAACCCTGAAACCGAAGCAGCCAAATAATATCCAGCCAATTTATTTTTTTTTTTTTGTGTTAGTGTTTTTATTAAGAGCTGTGCTTTTCCATCTGTGACATGTTCACTGACATCTTCCATGAAAAAGGCCTATGGGTATTGAGTCAGCAGAATTTAAACCTGGGTATTAAAACTTTAAATAGACCTTTCTTCACTGCGGACATTTTGGCAGGTCGCAGTAATAAAAAAGCACAGGTGTAATTCACGACATTGATAATGGCTGCATTCCCTTTAGGTGAGACAATTTCGGGATCCCGTTTTTTGTGCTACGCTGACTCACTGGAATGGCGTACTGCGAGATCTATTGACACTTACTGTAACTGTGCCATCGTTATTGTTATTTGTTACACCTGTGTGTTTCCTCCTATGACAAGTCAAAATGTCTGGTGTGAAAACGGTGTGTGTCCATGTTTAGATCTAAGTGCCTTTAGTCCTGAATGCCTTCTATAGTTAAAAAAACCCCATCACTGCTGCCTTTGGTACTTCTAGATATACAGTCTAAAAGTGCTGTGCAGTCACCAAGTATTCGTACATTTCTGTTCCCTCTTACTCCAGCGCACTGAGGGTGTTTACCTTCACATCACATAAAAAATTTAGGAACTGTAGCCCTTTTAACATTTAGACTCCCAATTTAAGGGGACATACTGTAATCGGACAAGTTACCATCAACTCAATTCAAATCATAATGTTTAGTATTTGGTTCCTTTGCATCAGTGGACACTTCGTATCTTCCCTGGTGATGTTCTAACAGGCCTGTACTGCAGCCATATTCACGTCTTGCTTGTTTCAGGGGCTTTTCGCCTTTTAGCCTGGTGAAGGAAACGCGTCCTCAGTTGGACTGAGGTCGGGTAACAGACTTCACTGTTCAGTCAAGTACATCCCACTGACGGCCCATAAACACTGGTTGCCTTGTCTACATGTTTAAGATTGTTGTCCTGTTGGATTTTCCCTTAAATTGAGGGACTGTAGAGTAAAGAATGGGCTCCAGGTTCCACACTGTTTCCCCAATATAGATGCATGCAATGCGTACCCTTTTTGATGTAAATAAACCTTCCTTATAATTATGTAGCGAAGGGGTTAAACATTCACACTGTAGAAAGAGACTGAATCCAGCTGTTCTGCAGGTTGCTCTATGAGGGGATTAAAACTGTATATTAGTAATCTAATAATCTCTTCCTTTTGATTTGAGGATTTCCCAGTCAACTATGCTGCTCGCAGAATTCAAGGTGCTGCAGGAAGGAAGGAAACTCCGTCGTCGTTGCTCTCTGTGTAGTTGTTGTGCCTGTCTGTGTTCATTCCTACTGATTTAAAGGTTGACATGCAAATAAATTCCCTGACCTGCTTGATCACTTGTTCCAATGAAATGACATTCCCACTAACTCGGCGCATACCAAACCCTTGACTTGTTTGTGGTGCTTCACAGAACATGACTTTGATGATAAGTCTATCTACTGTAGACTGTCACGCATCTCAGCAATGCGTTTCATAAAGCATGCAGTGTGATGGAATATTGGTTTCATGTCATCTCTACTAAAGGTCACTTTTCTTGTTGTGTAATAATCAACTTATTTTATTATCTACTTGCTAAAAATGTGTGATTCTGCTGTCCTGTTCATCACGTGAATAACTTGAGGTTGTCATTAAATGCTGATTCTAAAACATATTGCGCTGAAAGCATATATTTTATAAGTTATGTAGTTCATATAACCTCCTCAGCTGATAAAACGAGTGACGGGGATGTTCTCGTCGAGTCAAAGTGGCATTTAATGACACGTTCCTTACTTGTGAAGGCAAGTCTGGTTCTATCATTGAGTCTCTGATTTCTCCTCATGGCCACTGGCCTGCCTTCCACTGTGTGTTTTTTTTCTTTCCCTCCCTTCTGCTCTTTTACTCTACCCACCCCTTCCCCGATTGCATGTGCTCATTTTTTCCACCCTCTCTGGAGAAACAAGGCTCTCTTTTCTTTGTAGCAATGCCTGTCTATGTGTAGGCCTACATAAGAGACTTTGTGTGTGTGTGTAAAGTGGAGAGGAAATGGACTCTAAAAATGTATGTCTAAGTGTGTATTTCACATCTGGCAAACTCAATAACTGTGATTAATATTATCTTTGTGAGTGTCTGTCTGTATGAGTTGTATTATGAGAGCTCGGAATGGTTTCTCGACCCTCCCGACCTCACTTGGAAACAGTTGCTTGTTTAGGAGTTTTTCAATCTGCGACAGGCTAGCAGGGTCACTCAAAGACTACACAGCAACGACAGACGTGTCGTTCTCCTGAAAATGCACAGTATCCAAAATGTAATTGGCTAAGAGGTGTAGCCAACTTGCATTCTCTATCACAGTAGCCTTATCCCAAAGAATTCTTCAGCTTAATAATGGGGGTCCACTTTTGTCTTGGTCCAGTTTTCCTTTGACTTATGACAGCGCCTTAAAGTTTTCCTTTATCGTCCATCTTGACCCCACTTAAGCCTGGGCAGGGGTTTGTGGTTTTGGAACAATACAGGGTGGTGTACTGTGATGGCTCTGTGGTTGCTCTGTCGCATCACAACACAAAGGTAATGGGTTTGAATGAACTGGCTGAAGGCTTCGTTCTGTGGAGATGTTGAAGGTTTCCTCCAAAGTCCTTGAATTAGAAAAAAAAAAATGCTTGTCTGTATTTCAAATTATTTGTCTTAGGTGCAACCAGCAGTTGCTGAAAAAGTTACAATCAGTTACTACCAAAAATATAAGTCAAAGACTTTGTTCTCGTGCCATTCTGGTAGCACATTGACTTTAAGGTAAACTGAACTGTTTGACATCCTTTCACCTATTTCCTGGCTACTGAGTAACCTCTGACTTTTGGAGCACTGAGGAGGGCTAATTCCTCCCCAATTCCTCCTACACACTACATATCCTGAGTCAGTTTATCAAGAACCATGTTCATCTGCACATACAAATAACACCTGAGATCTGTTCAGTGCTGTCACGTCTGGTATTGCTAAGCAGCTCCACATCGTGATTTAGAAAGAATTAGAGACAATGTTTCCACTTTCAAAAACCTTTCATCACAGTAAGAACATTCTTGAGAATAATCATCGTGTCTACCTTTTGTAGGCTGAGCAGCGTACATGTACATATTTCACAGCACACACCGGTTCAGTCACTCAGGACCTGAGCTTGACATTCAGCAATGTTGAACATGTACACAAACAAAACTCATCCCTTTTATGGATGATCTATTATACGGGGGGGCTGCAGTACATTCCTGTCCAGGAGTCTATGTGAGAGAAGGACATGTTTCTGTGCATTACTGTACAGAAATGTCATTTCATAGGGAAGCTAAACACAATTGTGTAGTAAAATGAGAGATCACAGGTGTGCCGTGTTGCACAAGTGACTGTTAAACCAAGATTATGTTAATGGTGCAAGAGACTGAAGCCACGAGAGATCAAGTTAAGGATCTTAAAAGCTCACAAACTGTGCAGTGTGGAGGAATTCTGTGGGATCTTGTTGGATTTTGGATGTGGGCTGATGTGCCCTCTTGGTCCTTCTAGTCTGTGATGTAGCGTATATGTGTGGTGTGAAACAGCTTTGACAGCAAGAACGGTTCAGTAAGTGATTGTGATTACAGTTCCATTGCAGAAACCATTCATTAACGCTTTGTACTGCTTCATAGAGAGACTCTGCCACACCACTTGATAATGATTGTGTTAAAGTGTATAGACTGGACCAGGACAGCTGAACAAATCTGTCAGTGGAGCAATTCAGCTTAGATGAAGCAAGCGGGTGGGCGGACGCTTTTGCAGTCTGTGGTTTCTGTTTCAGTTCTGGTCCCTTTTGAAATTAAGTGTAGAACTCTTAAGAATGAATACATTTTAGCACAACTAATACATCAAAATACCTTTTGTGTAAGGTGAATACCTTTACAAATGAGTTGAAATGATTGAATTAGGTAATTTGTCTTTGTCAGCGTAATAGATCTAATCCTGCATTTTTCAAATTTGACCTGATGTTAGTCTAGATTGATTCAGAACTAAGTAGAGACAGTTAACCACAACATCAATGTAAACATTTTAAAGTAGCAAAGAGACTTTACTGCTTATCTTTTACCCTTTTTTCTGTGCACATGAGAGCAGGATACAAGGAATGAGTCAATTTCTTCTTTCCTCATTAATGGCAGGTAGTTTCCAAAGTTGTGTCTTAAGTTGAAACTTCCTCTGTGGTTCGCATCCGAGGACACCGTTGGCCACAGACTCTCTTCCTTCTTGTTTTAAGTGCAGAACTGAAGCAATCCAAGTACTTGCGTGTCAAGTCATTTTAAGTACATTTTACTTTATATTGCCCAATATCACAAATTTGCGACGTTCTAAGTGTGGCTCTTTTTTCTTGAAGGCTTAGGTGAGTAGTCACCATGGCACCCTTCCTGCGAATCGCCTTCAATGCCTATGACGTGGGCGTTCTGCCTCCTCTGTCTGAACCTCCCATCTGTGCCATCAAGATGAAGGAGTCTGTCAACACAGGTATGTACAGAGGCACACACACGCAGTCATAATTTTACCTAGATAGGGGAGCTCCACAGCGAGCAGGGAGACCTGACGTCCCAAGTTCAATTGCTTTAACAGCCACCAGCTGCTGAGCTCACAAATCCACAAGCAAACTCTGCACCTCCAGCCACTTTGTGCAGTAGTGAGAGAGTAAAAGACAAACTTTTAATCCTACTGATCTATTTCACAGAGCGAGGAAAGACCTTGGTCCAGAGGAAGCCCACCATGTACCCACCCTGGAAGTCCACTTTCGATGCTCACATCTATGAGGGGCGAGTCTTAGAAGTGGTCCTCATGCAGAGTGCCGAGGAACCGTTGGCCAAGGCCACGGTTGGAGTGTCTGTACTGGCAGAACGCTGTAAGAAGTCCAAGACCAGCAGCCGTGCTGAGTTCTGGTTGGACCTGCAACCTTCAGGGAGGGTCCAGATGGTTGTGCAGCTCTTCCTTGAGGACACTGATGCAGGTAAAACTATTGCATCTTAAAGCCTCTGGAAACCTGGTTTGAACTCTTTTGTATTATTCTAACATTAGATATGTATGACTGAATTTAAAGTTTAAAAAAAAACATTCTTTGATATTTAATTGTTTAGAGTATTTCAATCAAAACTCTAACCTGCTTAATCATTACCATGTGGGTGTGGTTTGATCAGATTAAAGCGACAGTGGCCCAGCAATTTCAGAGAGAAACTCCACAACTGTCATCACACTTAGATTCAAATATTGCTGAAACTTGTTTGGAAATATTTGACATCACAGCATCACCTTTTTCTCGATGAGCCCAACCCAGTTGACACAGCACAGACATGCATCTCCCATGTGAAATAACTCTAATGTAGCCAAGAAATTGCGTGTTGTTTTAGGACCCTACCACTCGAAGACATTTTGAATTTGCCAATACTATCACTCTGCATTAAAATGTGCGTTCCCTGACCGGGAATCGAACCCGGGCCGCGGCGGTGAGAGCGCCGAATCCTAACCACTAGACCACCAGGGAGTGCTGAGGCAGAGAGGGAATATAGTGGGGTAACCTTAGCTCTTAGATCCCCTTCACCCTCCCTTTTCGTTCCCTCCTCTTCCAACCACACTCATGTAGATCCACAGAAAATCACTCTCCTTCAGTGTCTATATGTGCCCTCTATTCGCGGAGACGATTCCCTAGCTAGTGTTCATTTCATTGCACTTTCCACACACAACCACAGCTAAACATGTTAGTTATTGTGGACCTCTCTGGAGAGTGTGGAGACATCATACTCTGGGCCAACTGCCCTGCAATAAACTGCCTGCCTCAAACTGCCAAGTGTTAATCCGCATGCTGACATGTGTCAAGTTAAGCTTGTCAGCTGACTACAGGTGTGGCCATGTAGCCAATGCACTATCACAGTTCTTCTAGGTGATATACTGTAGGCACTACTTTGAGAATGTAGCAAACATACTGAACACAGCAATGAATATATATTTATATGGCACAGCACATATAACAAGAAGGGTTAATTCCTGTTTCTCTTGATACAGTGTACAAATGTCTTGACAATGACTACTCTGGATCATATCGTATATCAGGCCTATATTAGTATTTTATTACAGATTCAATATATTTGTCTTGTTCTTTATTTTATGCTTTTTTATTATGTGTTTCAATGCAGAGTTTTAGATCTCGGCGGTCTATCCTTTCAGGAATGAGGCGGGGGAATTATTGAGATTTTTTGGTTTGATAAGGCCACTTTAAGATATTGAACAGCACCTCAAATGATCTCTCACTCGCAGCTTGAGTTGAAAACCATATAACCATCATTATCTGCTTTCAAAAACCTCTTAGTTTCACTTCAGCTGTAGGAAGCAGAAGTTAAGCAGAGCAGTACTGGCCAGCAGTGTGGCAACTGCTAGCTCACCACCCCAGACAGGGAACCTCGTCTGTGGCCGTCACTGCTGTCTGCCAACATGGGAGTGCGATCGAGTGAGATTTACAAAGCGGGAATTTCTGCGTGGGAGTAGCAGAGTCGGGGTTCACCGTTCAGGGTTGGAGAGGGGTCATGAGAGGGGTGTGCGTCTGCTGTTATGAGGGTTAGGCTCCATACTACATCAGCTCCCTCCTACACACTCCACCGGTTTCCTGAAAAGCAGCCCAGAGTATTTTTAGGCATGTGTGAACAACCCCTCAGCGCTGTCTGCCTTCTTTCTCTTGCCCTCACTCTCACTCCCACCATCTTGTCTCAGCTCACTGGCGCGCTTTCCAAACATAAACATCTGTCGGTAGAGTGGCAGAGAGGAAATTAGTTTATCTCGTTCTCCTCATCACTCTTCCCACTTTTCCTTGTATATCTATTGTCTCTTTAAGGCTACTCATTTTATGAAGTGTCCCCTCTATCTCTTCTCTCCCTCACCCCCGTCCACCCATTTACCCTCCCGATCTCTCTCTGAGTTGTCCGCCTTCTTTGTTTACCTCTCTCACGCCTCTTTGGCTGTGGTCTCTGGGTGACTTTTGACCCCACCCCGCGTCAGTCGAAGCCGCGTCATACAAGATGGTATTTTTTTGTGTTTACCCCGCATTTAGCAGCAATATCGGAGGCTCCCTTCTATAGCTAGTAGGGCTTTTTGACTAAATAGCCCTTAGCTATTAGAGCTGATTTAAGCAACGACAATAAAGCTCATCAGCTAGATTGTAAAAGATTTGGGTGGTTAAATAATTGGTTAAATAATTCCAACTCAATGCATTCTTTTTCTTTGGAAATCAATAAAACGTGTATTTGGATAATACTGCACTTTAAAGCTGTTTGAAAAACATAGAGGTATAAATACAGTAGTTTGATTTGTAAATCAATCTCTCCCCTCAGCGTCGTGTCAGCAATCAGTGAAGGGTTCTTGCGAGGATGGACTCACGACCCTCACCAAGAGGAGAGGAGCGTTCAAGCAGGCCAAAGTTCACATCATCAAGAACCACGAGTTTACCGCCACCTTCTTCGGCCAACCCACCTTCTGCTCTGTCTGCAGAGAGTTTGTCTGGTGAGATGCCATGTTACATCTGTCACTATTATGTCATCAAATGCTTCTTTTACTTTGACCGTCAGCTTTTTTTTTTTTTTTTTAATTGCTGCATTCCAGGGAGAGAATATGGTAGTAATTTCCAATGCTCCTCTTCCTGGGCACGACTTATCCAAAAGCAGACAATTTTGTTTTTCTGCAATAACATTACACAATATTACACTGGCACAGCTTTGATAATTCCAGACCATTTAAGCTGTCACCTACTGTATGTTCCCTGGGTACCACATGAGACAAAAAATATCCTTTGTCCAATAAGAAAAGTCCAGCCCCCCCCCCCCACGGGTGCTTCTCAAAAGACCAATTAGTAGCGGTTCTAGTTTCCTTAATGGAGCAGTGTGGGGGTTTTGTAATGGGAGAAACAGCAGCAGGACTGCTATTGTGAGAATGAGTCACTGTCTTGGGAAGTCGCACAAAGCTGTCATGTTGCCTTCCAACTATGTCAGCAGCACTAACTAAGCTCTTACTACTACTGTATCTCACTTAGAGGCAGGCAGAAAGAAATCTGATGTTTTCTTCAGTTCTGATCAATTTTTAGATATAGAAGTTTCAATCTCATGATCTAAGATGTGAAAGATATCGTCCAGTTATGGTGTTAACAAATATAACCCATGAGTCATTGCTGTGCCAACTCCAGTAACGAGTGTCCCATGCTGTTCCCATGCTTGCTTTTGCACTTGCATAATACTTTGGAGAAGAGTTTGCAGAAAGCACAGATGTAGTTTGGTAGCTGTTGCATAAAGGAGAAGGTAAACGTGTGCTTTACTGCTGCCAATTATCTGCAGGCTAGCTACAGTACATCACTGTCATAACCACAAGCCTACTGTTGCAAAACCATTCTGGATATATTGTTTTAATATCAGCAGCCATGTTTTTCTTGGTAATGGCTGACGAAAATCCTTTTTCTGCTTCATCTCACCCTTTACATTCCTTTCCTCCCCACACAGGGGGCTCAACAAGCAAGGCTACAAGTGCAGACGTGAGTGTTTTCACTAAACGCTATCTGCATTTTTATCACATTTTACCCTTTTGTATTCTTCACAGTTAACAAAATATGTATTCATTTGTTTCACCCAGAATGCAATGCGGCAATCCACAAGAGATGCATCGATATGATCATCGGCAAGTGCACTGGGACAGCAGCCAACAGTCGGGACACTGTGGTGAGCAAAGTTAATGTTCTCCAACATCTGTGCAAAACCTCACCTCAGCTCTGACACTCTTTGAATTTAGAGCATTTATGCACTGTTATTAAGCAGTCCATTAATCATTCATGTAGTCAATGTGTTTTTTCCTTACTCAAAAACAAACTGTTTTTCATGAGTCAGCTTAATTCAGATTCAAACAAAGTTTACAAACAACATCAACATATAGATTCAATAAGAGTTGGCTGTGGAATTTCATTAATCTCAAAAGCAACTAAAACTGGCAAAACATAGTCCCACATGTGTCTGTTTTATTATCAGATAGCAGCTTCCTGTGTGTTTAATGGATCTCTGCGTGCTTGTAGTTCCAGAAAGAGCGCTTCAAGATTGATATGCCGCATCGCTTCAAGCAACATAACTATAAGAGCCCCACTTTCTGTGACCACTGTGGCAGTTTGCTCTGGGGTCTCTACAAACAGGGCCTTAAATGTGAAGGTAATGTGTTTTTATACTCTGTCTTCAGATGATATGTCTGCATTTCTCCTGCCTCCTTCCATGCCCATGATTTTTTTTCTCTTTCATTGAATCCGACCAGAGTGCGGCATGAACGTACATGGTAACTGTCAGACAAAAGTGGCCAATCTGTGTGGAATCAACCAGAAACTACTGGCAGAGGTTCTGTCTCAAATCAGCCAGGTTTGTACTCTAACAAACTGTTTATTTCAGTGTTCATTTTCTGCCAGTCAGCGATAAATAAAGTGGAAATTACTAATTGTTGATGTGCAATGTCAAGAATGTTCAAACACACTTTTTTTTCATCCTTAGAAATCAATCAAGAAGTCTGATGACTTCAATTCAGAAGATGTTGGGATCTATCAAGACATCAATAGAGCAACAGTAGACCCTAGTGGTAAGATGGGTTCATTGTAGCACACACAAGTTGTTTGGTTTAAATCAAGTTTTGTCATTAAAGGTAAAATAGGAATAGTAATGTCTGTGATTGTCTTTTTAACTTTATTCACATCCTCAAATATTTATCCTTTGTTTGAGTTTGAATGCATCTTTGCATTCAGGTTTGCATTTGTATTTACTCTGTGTGCAAATGTGCATTTATAGCAGACGGCAAGGGAGGCATTGGCTTGAGCACAGACACACCTGCAGTTCCCCGGGTACGCCTCAACATGAACCACCTGGTATTCCACAAGGTGCTGGGAAAAGGCAGCTTTGGCAAGGTAGGCCCCATGGTCCCCATCTTTAGATCCTTTCCTGGATTTAACATGAAATGATTGTGTCGACATCAAAAATGGAAAACACTTCAAACTTCAAACGTTGTACAGACATGTTATGTCAATGATATAACACATATATGGTGAAAGAAACATTCTTCCGGAAATTGTCTCCATGTGAATGACTCAAAACTTGACCCTGTAGATGACTATTATCTACCAAATATGACAGTGATAGTCCATATCTTCATGAAAGAAGAGTGAAATGATGAAAGCTGAATTATAATTCAAGCAAGCTCTCAAGGACACACACTTTCAAGATGATTCTTATGTCTTAATAATCATCATCCTTCCTTAAACCATATTTTACATCATTTTTTATTTGTGTTAAGTTCACAATTAATTCATTGATGACCAGCTCAGCTGTAGTTTACCTGTTTTTTGATCAACAAAGTTTGTTAGATCAATACATCTACTGTCACATGACTTCCCTCAGATCGGTGTTGGGGGTGGTTCTCAGATGAGAAAAGAGCTTGGTTATTTATCAATCACTATAGATGCTAGGCAACATTTGACAAAGACATGCACACTACATGAAGGTTGAGCTATTTGAGAGAGGCAGATGTTGGAAGGTTCATCTGTATCCAGGCCCCATCAGGCCTGGTGGCAGTGCTTTTCAGTGAGACTAACATCCAGTGTCCATGTAAGATCACCAAAAGAGGGGGAGATATAAATAACATCTTTGTTTTGATGTTGCCTTTGCTATCAGTGTACCCCATGCAACTGGTGTCATCACACTGATGAAGTACTCACTCTAAGTGGCTTTTGACACCCCAGGTGCTGCTGGCAGAGCTGAAGGGGCAGGGCCAGTACTTTGCTGTGAAGGTCCTGAAGAAGGATGTCGTTCTCATGGATGACGACGTGGAGTGCACCATGGTGGAGAAGAGAGTCCTGGCGCTCGCCTGGGAGAACCCCTTCCTCACACACCTCTACTCCACATTCCAGTCGAAAGTAAGCACACGGATACTGAACATCTACTAGTAAAACTTATAAAAGCATGTTCTCTGATGGGGGAATCCACCCATCCACTCCCAGTTGTTGTTGTTAAAGACCCACACCCCCAGCCCCCCTTGTCTGAATCCATTCTCTCTCTCTCTCACACACACTCCATGTCTCATTTGTTGACAATAATGTGTTGTTTGCACAGGAGCACCTCTTCTTTGTAATGGAGTACCTGAATGGAGGCGACTTGATGTTCCACATCCAAGACAAAGGCCGTTTCGATCTCAACAGAGCCACGTGAGTACACTCAAAAGAACTATGAGCAATACAGCAACTGTCCTTTTCCACATTGGAGGATCTGTAACTAGCTCTTGAGCGCAGTAAAGCTGTGATTTAATGGTTGTTTTGCATGTTTCAACATTCAGATTCTACGGTGCTGAGATAATAGTGGGACTGCAGTTCCTCCACTCAAAAGGAATCATCTACAGGTAAGATCCCACAGCCATTCTGCACAGATGTCTGCAGTCTTTAAATTCAACTTGTTACTGCAACCGAGGAGGCGGGAACAGAATCTCTTTTTCTGATTTTTGACTACAGTACTCCAAACAGAATATACTGTACTGGAAATGGTTGTACATTGTGTATATATATCTCTTCCTGTGTCTTTCCTCAGAGATCTGAAGTTGGACAATGTGATGCTGGACAAGGACGGACACATCAAGATAGCAGACTTTGGCATGTGCAAAGAGAGTGTGTTTGGAGACGTCAGAGCCACCACGTTTTGTGGGACACCAGACTATATCGCACCAGAGGTTAGATTCAGCGCCGGACTTACGTTACATTTCATACAACTACTTTTTCATCAAATTCCTTAAAAAAATATTTATTTTGAAATATGTTTAGAATATATATATTCTTGTCACTCATGTCTAAAGTGTTTTTGTGAAACTGTCTCTCCTCTCAGATCCTGCTAGGACAGAAGTACACCTTCTCAGTAGACTGGTGGTCTTTTGGCGTGCTGGTGTACGAGATGCTGATCGGTCAGTCGCCGTTCCAAGGCGACGATGAGGACGAGCTGTTTGAGTCCATCAGGTCGGACACCCCTCACTACCCTCGGTGGATCCCCAAGGAGGCCAAGAACCTCATTGAACTGGTACCTGACAGGATACATTTGTCATTATTAAGCACACTTTGTTCCACATAGGCATAGACAGTGTTTACATTATTCACAATAATTGATTTCAATGCGGGCACTCCTCCTCATCAATGTCTGTCTTCTTTGTCTCCATTATCATTCCAGTTGTTTGAGCGAGATCCCAGTCGCAGGTTGGGTGTGGTGGGCGACGTCCGTGCTCATCCGTTCTTCAAAACCATCAACTGGCTGGCACTGGAGAAGAAAGAAATGGACCCTCCTTTTAAGCCCAAAGTGGTACGAGTCTATAAGTATTTTTTTTAAATATGAATGTATGAATCCAGGATACCGATTACTTCAGTGTGCTTTGTTACATTAGCTTATTAACTGGAATCCCTGACCTGCCACCCACAGAAATCCCCCAGTGACTGCAGCAACTTTGACCGAGAGTTCCTCAGCGAGAAGCCGCGGCTCTCCCACGCAGACAAGAACCTCATAGATTCCATGGACCAGGCAGCGTTCGCTGGCTTTTCCTTCATCAACCCCAAAATGGAAAACATGATTAGCAAATGAAAAAAAAACTAAATGGCTCCTTTGGGAACACGGTCTTAGCCCTGGACTTGGAAATAGGCTCGAAGTTCAACTGGATGGATAACAAGAACATGAAAATATTTGGGCTTGACTATGACTTCTTTAGTTCGTCCATCAGAGGTAAAGTGAAACCAGGATGTATGCTGGCGTCTAAAGCAAAAATCTTGTCTCGGCTGTCAAACTGTATAGGTGTATAAAAGAATACAAAGCTCCAGGAAGTTAAGGGAGATTATTATAATCAATGCTGGGGAGGGATAGTCAATGATGCATTCTGTGTTTTCTTACTTTTCATTTTTCCTCGTGATGACACCTTGAATCTAAACAAATCATCGAATGTACTGTATTTAGATTCACAGGACTTAAATCCCTCTGAATTGAAGGAACGTTATTGCAGAACCGAAGAAGTTCCTCCATCACTTACTGCACTATCTTGAGAAATTGGAGGTGCTCTAAGCACATCCCAGACTCTCGCATCACCTGACAAGCGTTAATCGGTTTTAAATTTTGTCAAGTATTTTAACGTGCCCTTAGTGTCAAAAAACTCTCTGAACATCAAAATGAAGCATCGTGCAAACAATCGCTCTTTTTGATTTTCTGCGCTGTCACCACTTATTGGACAGCTGTGGTATGGTACTTAACCTGCATATGTGTTGAAGGATGTGTTGTTTTGTGTGGGAGGTATGGGCATTCCACTGTAAGCATTGGGTCTTTGAAATGTGTTATGTTACTTTAATGTAGGGCTTTTAACATGAAAATAATAGTGCTGTGTATGGAAAATTAACATGTACATTCTAATGAACTGCATGTGAGTTGTGGGTGTTTTTTTTTTTTTTTTTTTTTTTTTAAATCATCTTTTACATCTGATTATAAATAAATACATTGTAAACTCTTAAATCCCTGTCAGCCAGTGTCACTTGATTACATTTAGTTTTTCATTTACATTGTGTTGGAGAGTGATGTATATCACACGGCTTCATGTGTAGACGCTCTTTCAAAACAAAAATGATTTTGTAAAGACTAGCATACCATAGAAATTCCAGTACTAATCACTGCATTCCTGCTGTTATGGCGTGGTCCTCTGGTCGCTGCTGGTTTCCAGCCATTGTTTGCTAGATTTTAAGGAGCCGACATTGGACACAGTCTGTAGTGCCTCACCTCAGAAAAACGTGAATTGCTTTGGAAGGGCACCAAAACATTTCCAAGTACCACAGGGATTTTGTCAGCACCGAAGAGAGGGAGAGAAAGACCAGCCTGGCTTTACTGCCATCTAGTGGTCAGGTGACATAACTGCACCTCCTCGTGTGGACGAAAGGCGAGGAGACATTCCTGCAGTGCGCACGGCTTACGACCTGTCCTCGTCCTCTGTCCCCAGCAGTAATCCCCTGCCGACTGCAGGATGTGGACAGTGAACAAATAACTAACACGAGGCGAATAACGGCGACCTCCACTGAGCAATAAACCAAGTCAAGTAGTTGAGACATGTGCCTTTATGCAAATAGCATCATAGACCAATGCAGCATTGAAGTTGTAGACCCTTAAAAAAATGAAATGACCCCACACATTTAAAAACCGAAATAATAAAAACAACAAATACGTGTTTTTTTTTCTCTGTTTATTTACTGATCCTAATTTCCTTATAAGAGTCGCCTGCAGTCTTTTGTTTGAAAGCTTGAGAGCGCCTCTGCAGTTAAATAAAACGACTGAATGAATTTAGGAGTAAATGCCTGCCCCCTTTTGATGTATTCATGGCTCTCCGATTGTTTCGGCTGTTCACGATCCGATAGGTTTTCTGTTGCCCATTTTTATTGTAGGCGACTGTTTTCCCCTCAACGCGTGCATATTTTTTTTTCTTTTGTTGTAACCATCCGAAGGGTTGGTCTATTGTGGAGGATTATAGCACATATATGATCCAAGTGAGCTGCAAAATATGTGTCTGGCTCATAGAAGCGCTTTACAAAACGAGAAATACGCGTATTTAATACATAAATTAGATTTATAATACGAAATGAATGGACTTTGAGCATTGCACTCACAATGTGAAGGCATATTTCCAGCAGTTTCTCCCGCCCTCTCCTCCAAAAACCCGACTTGACAGCCTTGTGCAGCAGAAGTACCGAAACAGCGATGACATACAGAACTGAATTCAGTCATCATGACAGAGCGTTATTGTGCTTGATTTAAAAAGCAATTGCCCATTCAGCCTTTTATTGGGAATTGTAGGGCTATTTTATGTACTTAAAAATATAACTGAATGAAAATGAAGCAACTCGAGGTCACCTTCAATAACACAATCTACAGGCTACTTTATTCAAGAACAAATTGCTTTTTCGTGGCAAAAAGCACTCCTATCGAAAGTGGGTCGATTATATGTGCAACTAAGTGTTGATTCCGCTGGGGATAAAATACGAGTAGACATGTTGACCCTCGTGTCTTTGTCAGAAATAAAGCAAACGAAAACCATTCTGCTTTATTCTGTTCTTTTCTTTTGTGAGGTTTTCTAGATTTTTGGTCTTGATTCTCGACTGAGTGGTATTTTAATGTGTGTGTGTGTGTGTGTGTGTGTGTGTGTGAAGATGGAAGTCGTTGTGATGTAGTTGGGCTCAGAGGCATAGAGGCGGCAGAACATGCGCAGTGGCCATTTGTGCCATATTGGGAACGAGGTCGTGAACGAGAACTGCGTCAAGCTAGCGGCACGCGGCCGGAGCGACACCGGAAGTGTCACGATTTATAACCCTCGACACAAAAAGAGCCGCCGTTGCTCTGACAACGACTTGTGACTTCCGCTCTCGTAAGCCATCTTATTTTGAAAAGCGCCACCGGGGGCTCTCGGTTTTCATTCGCGTTAGCTCTCAAACGTTGCTGCGAGCGAAGCGAGCGAGCAGGCGAGAGAGGAACGGCATCTAAAAAACCGACTTGGAAAAACTACTTAGCGGTAAGGGGCGAATTTTGCGACTAAATATTCACGTACTCTGTGTTGTCTGTCACACATCCCTCGCGGTGTTTCGCATTATGGCGGCGCATTCGTCTTTTTTCCCGTCTCTCAAAAAGATGAGTCGGGCTCGGTCGAGTGTAAGCGCCCTTATTGCTCGTCAGCCTGCTCTTATTGCTCGAGCCGTGTGACGTTCAGTAACTTGACTCGGACACACGAGCGATTTTTTTTTTTATACCATGTGTCCAATGAGTCCCACACGGCCGCTGGGCATTCACGACCGCGTGTTTATTTATTGGACAGCAATTTAATAAATCCCTCAATCGGTATGTGATGTTCTCCTCATTGTGAAAGTTAGACCGTCGGCGCTGTAGTCTCTCTCTCTTTCTCTCTCTCTCTCTCTCTCTGCGTTAGTGGCCCATCAATGCGGCGGTTAGTCTGTACAAGCGGTGCAATCTTACGCTAGTTTCAGTTCAGACTGTGTGGGTCTCCTCCAGTGATTTTGCGCTTGTGTGTCAGTGTATGTATTATGTGGAAAGCCTTACATAATGACGGTCGCACGACCTCAGCCGATTAGTGTTTGTGTGCAGCTCTCACCTAAATAAACTAATTTGTTTATAAATGCCTTTAGCTTCGGCGTGCTTTCGACAGCTGATGGGTCAGGGAGGCTGCTCTGAAGGTTGTCGTTTTTGTCGTTATTGCAACCTATTTTTTTTTTTAATTGTTTTTCCTCTTCTGGCCGGTTAACTTCCCCTATTGTGCAACTTGAGTGATCCGCTGGCAGCGCTGCCCCGGTTGACGTGCCGCTATGCAATGGAAACGAGCAGCGTGATTGCATTTGCAACTGAATGAAAACTCGTCTCGTTATTTATGCATGCTGTGTGCTGGAAAGGTGGATTATTTTGGTCTGCAGTTGTAGCAGCTATATATATATATATATATATATATAGAGAGAGAGAGATAGATTGATTGATTTTGTTAATTACATTTTTTTCGCTACAGCAGCATTTATGGTACAGGTAAAGCAATAAAAAAAACAGAGTATGAAAATGCACAATATATACAATGAAAATACCAGAGTAAAAATATAAAAATGCACGATATATACAATAAAAATAACAGAGTAAAAATATAAAATAGAAAAATGCACAATATATACAATGAAATAAAATAATATTAAAATTAACTAACCAAACAATAGTGCAAATATTTAACAAAACAAACAGTGTAACAGAGTTATAGTCGTTAGCAGGCTCCTTGGTCTTCAGAGCAACCGTAACGTGATTATTAATGATGTTTAGGGTATTTCAAGTTATTATTTGGGCTGCCATGGAGTGTAAACCTGTCTCAACTTTATTTCCCAGTCCCTTTTTAAAGGGTCATTTCACCTACATTACAAAAAATAAGCCCCTATATTTTCTCACTTGGTGCTATTGACCCGTCATCAGATAGAAGTTTTTGGTTTTATGGTGTCAAGTCATGAGACGTCGGTCAATGAGATGTCTGCCACCACCAGTCCAATACAATATGGGGTGAGTTGAACTAATATTTGTGGGGCTCACAACATTGCTGTTAAACAAGATCATCCACGTGCTTCCCTGTAAACAGTTTTCATTGGAACTACTTTCTACCAAAGAAATAGTTCCTACGAAAACTGTCCACAGTGTTGATTATTTAGAAAGAGATGTTGCTGTTTTTACTGCAACTTTTAAATGCTTTGAGCTCAACAAGCAAAATTGCGATCCTATAGTTTCATACGGGAGAAAGCAGAAGTTTCCCCGACACCTGCCACCACGAAACCAAAACTAATTGCATGGCTTGATAGTACTACAGGTAAGAAAACATTGTTTTTTGTACTTTGATTGAAATTAACCATGGTATGAAACCAATGCAAATAATAATTAGAAAAACAAAAAAGTGCTCTTCTGAAAATAGGTTTAGTTAATGTTAGAGGATCAAACAGGAGGACTTACTAATGTTCTGCCACATTGCTTCTTATCTCATACTAGTAATCAGCAGAGGCCATTAAATCCTGTTTGGGGGGAAATGTTTCAACAGCTAATTTCATTTTATTGAAAGTTGACTTTGATTTTCTTTCCAGTAGAAGCCGTCCACTGTGTGTGATTTTGTTTGTTTGCATTTCCCACCCGGGGACCTCCGAGGTTCAGGAAGGCTCATTGGCATTGCATGCTAAGTGCAGATGAGAATATGATTCAGCGAGTGCTTGTAAAGAGGATGTAGTGTGGCTCTCAGTTGCCTGTGTGTGTGTGTGTGTGTGTGTGTGTGCGCTTGTTTGTACGTGTGTGCCTGCGTGGGTGTGTGCACATTTGGCCCTTTATCTTTCAGGTTCAGTCAGTCTCGGGTGGTGCAGAAAGATTCAGACAGACTGCTGCTAGCTGTCGTCCACACGGACCACTTGCTGTATAATGAAACGGGGGAAGTTGCCTTTCTTCCTGTCTGCAAGTACACGCTGAGGCCTTTGCTGCTCTGCGAAAGTTAAATGCTGCAGAAACCTACAGCTTCGGCAGAGCAAATACCGACAGCTCGTCTGTGGAAATTTGAAACGGTAGTTTTAATTGATGTACTTCTCAGAGAGTGTATGCAGACACTATTTCATTTTTTTTTTTAAAGAATGACGGATTCAGTTCACACACACAAAGAAAAGCCACAGAAGTGATTGTAGAGGAAAGGCCCCAGGAGGTAGACCTATCCGAAGCACCAAACAGAATCAGTTTAAAATACCGCCATGAACTCATAAATGCTCTTAATAGTATGCAAGCTCAGCATCAGATGTTAGAATACTGCTTCTTAACTTTAGGCCTGTATTTCTACTCCGCTCTTTTTTTTTTTTCTCTCACTCCTATGTCAGGAGTGTGACCCCCGGGGACAATAAGGCCCTCTGGTGTGTGTGTGTGTCAGAGGGAGGGGGGGAGAGAAAGACAGAGGGAGTCTGGGGCAGGGTCGCGGGTGAAAGGTGGCGCTGATCCCGGTGGAGCACGGGGGTCGCGGTGGCAGTCCGGTCGCCGGGAGGGGTGGGGGTGTGTGTGTGGGGGGGGGGGGGGGGGGGTTCTGATGGCGGCCCTGGTTTTAATAGAGACGTCAGACATGACAAAGACGGGCCTGACAGGCCGGCTGAATGGAGCTGCGGTGACAGAGCGGCTATCCTCGGCTGTCCCATACACCGCTCTCTCCACCTTCGTCACGCCCAGCGCTCCCTTCTGTCTCATTCATGCCATCGC